CTTTGCCAATGCCTTCAATGCAGCTTGTACTTCTTCCTTCAGGATCATTGGCTCTTGATCATATGCTACACCTCTCAAAATGGCTGAACATCGACCAAAGCCTTTTGGTTCAGTGACTCTGTGTATTCCTTCCATCTTCTTTTGATTCTTTCTGCATCATTCAATAATCTTCCCAGAGAATCTTTCAATAATGCAAGTCGAGGCTTGAATTTTTTCATCAGTTCCCTCAGCTTGAGAAATGCTGAGTTCTTCCTTTTTGGTTTTCTAACTAACTCCACAGATCTTTTCACATTTCATTATAATATCTGACTTTGTCTTCTCAAGCTGACCTTTGAAACTTTCTGTTCAGCTCTTGTACCCCCTTCTCTTCTCCCATTTCCTCTTGCATCTCTATACTGGAGATGCTTGGAATCAATTCCAGTTGCTTTAGCATCTCTATGCTGAAGATGCTTAGAATCAATTAGTCCAATGGACTAATGGAACATGTGACCATCAGTCTCCATGACTCTGAGACCAGACAAACTAAATGGTGCCATGCTACCTTACCAACTGCTCTGACAGGAATTACATTATAAGGTCCCAGAAAGAGTAGGAAAAAATCTGAACAGAACTCAAAAATTATTTTTAAAACAACTGAGTTTAATGGTCCAAAAGAGACCGGAGGAACCCCCAAACTATGGTCCTCAATCACCAATTAGATTTGGAAAGGAATTTACCCTTGTGACCCAATTTTTAACTAAGCAGTAGATAGGTATATGGGACACACACACACACAACAAAACTAGTAAGGAATGCTCACCATGAAATGGTCAATCACTCAAAATCAAAAGGGCAATATTTACTTTAAGGGCAAAGTTGGGGAAGGATGGTAAGTTGGGTGGAATGGACATAGGAACCAGGGAGGAAGTGGGATAACTGTTATTGCATGAAGGGGATTGTAATCATTGAGATGAAACAAAGTATATGATTTGTTGAATGTACAATGGATTATCTTGTCTGTAAACCTTCACTCAGTTCACAAACAAAAAAAGTGTCCAAAATTTCACCAAAAAATAATGCTTTAATTCACTTCATCATTCTAAACTCTATCCTGCCAAACACCCAAAAAATAGTAGACAACTTTAAAGTAACATACTATATTTAAAAAAAGCAAACCTCAAAGTGAAACCCAAGAGAACATTATATAAATTGAAAGAATAGAAAATAATAAGGTCCTAGGCACCTACTGGCAAACCAAAACATAAGAAATTTTACCTGTTAAGAGTCCTAGCAAGATACTTTGTTCCATTCCTGTTGGCCAGAGATGGGTATTTCTTTTGAAGAAAAGCATATTCATCACGGATTGAATCAATTACACTCTTCTTATTGTTAATATCTAGCTGGCTCCTATGATTGAAAAATGAAAACTGTTCAAGTAAAGTCAAATTTGAGTCTATAGATGAAGAAAGTACTGATGGTGATAATGACAGCATAAAATTTTTTATGTTATCATACACCAGACCTTGTTCCTAATGCCTGATATGGGTCATTTTACTTAATTCGCACAATTCTAAGTGCTAAGTGTTATTAAAGAAACAGAAGCTCACAGATCCTTTTATCCAAGTTTGTGCATTAAGCAACGCAGCCAAGATCTGAATGTTGTTGTTGTTGTTGTTGTTGTTGTTGTTGTTGTTGTTGTCATTAGGTGCCATTGAGTCAGTACCGACCATAGTGACCTTATGCACAGCAGAATGAAATATGATCCTGGGCCAACCTCACAACTGTTGCCACGCTTGAGTACTTCGATGCAACCACTTGGCCAAACCATCTTGTTGGGGGTCTTTCTCTTTTTCTCTGACCCTCCACCTTACCAAACATGATATCCTTCACCAACAACTGGTCCCTCCTGACAATATGTCCAAAGTCTGAGAGACAAAGTTTGGCCATCTTGGCTTCCAAGGAGCACTCTGGCTGCACTTCTTCCAAAACAGATCTATTGGTTCTTGATTTGAACTATATGACTTATAAATAATAATGCCTGAATAGTTTAGGCTCATTATTATGATTGTTGTTGTTAAGTGCAATTTAGTCAGTTCCGACTCTTAGCAACCCTGTATAAAATCTCCAAGGTGCTGTCAACTTTGCAGTTAGCAGTCTAGTGCTTATCCTTCAACACCACACCAGGACTATATTAACTGTTTTCAAATGCAAAACTCTTATGTAATAGGGATTGCTGCTATTGTGAGGTGCCATGGTGTTGTTTCTGACTTACAGCAAACCAACGTACAACAGAATGAAACACTGCCCAGTCCTATACCACCCTCACAACTGTTGCTATGTTTAAGCCCAAAAGGAATAGTTGTTGTTAAGTGCCACTGAGTTGATTCTGACTCATAGTGAACCTATACAGAATTTTAAAGGAGCAACTGGTGGGTTTGAACCACCTAACTTGAGGTTCACAGTCCAGAGCTTATCCTATAATATCACACCACAAGTCCATAAGGAGTAGACAAGTACACAAATTGTGTGTTTTAATTAACTGTATCCTTTAACCATGGACAGGCAACTCTAAATTTTTGATAATTTCTACCAAAAATATTTAAATTAACTTGAAGAGCAGTCATCTATAAAATATAACAAATTATACCATCTGCTTTGCCTAAAAAGGAAATGGGGGTGGATTGGAATTATACATTAATAAAAGCAAACAACTGGAATGGATCACAAAGGTATCATTTATTAAAACAGTTTCATTTTTAAAAAGTCTGAAAACCCAAAGGTGGCTACATGTCATTTAAACTCATACTGTAATCTAGTCTGTGAAAGACTAGAAGTAGAACCTGGATCTCACGACAATTTCAGTGCTTGATAAACATGTCAGATTAAAAGAGATCTCCAATTGAATGTAGCTTTGCCTTTTACTAACCTAGTGACTTTGGCAGAAATATAAACTGATTTTTCTGATTATAAAATAGACATCTATAGTTACCTCACAGAGCTGTTGTAAGGGTTCAAAGAGATACTATTTACCAACTGTTGACACTCAACAAGCGTGTCCAAAATATAATTAAACCAAACGACCAAGTCATAGGAACCCTGTATAGTTTTCCAAGGCTATAAATCTTTATGGGAGCAGAAATTATCATCTTTATCCCTCAGAGTAGATGGTGGGTTTGAACAGCCAGCCTTGTAATTAGCAGTCCAGTGCCTAACAAACAGTACCAATTAGGATATCTTTAGTAAAATTTCTCCAAGCCACATCTAGTAATTACATAGACTCACTAATGCTAAGGCTTAAAACACCAATCTTAATATGCTTTCATCTTAAACTTGATTGAGTACAAATTAGACAGTAATTTTTTTTGATCCTCACCCAGTATCCTACTTATACATGGCTGAACTCTTAGATTTCTTAAAGCCTAACTATTAAATTACCTTGCATTTTGTGGAATTGCTTACTTTAGACACATTTCCCATAAAAATATTTACAGAAGGCTTAGTGAATCTCAAGATTGTTGTTAAATGCTCAAGAATCAATTTTTACTCATAGCAACCCCATGTGACCTGAAGGATTTTCTAGTTTATAATCTTTACAGGCAGATAGCCAAGTCTTTCTCCTGTGGAACAGATGGTGGGTTTCAACTACCAGCCTTTCAGTTAGCAGTCAAGTGCTTAGCCACTGTGCCACCATGGCTCCTTCTTTTCTCTCTACAGTAATGAATTCTTTAGCAATACCAAGACTGTGTTAAAAATTAGGGGGTGGGGGAGGGTGGGAAACGACACTCACATTTCAGTGACTAATTTTAGAAATTCAGACCTGCTTTTGAAATGAGAATGGTAAAGTTATTACATTCTTGATTGCTAACCTGTTAACTACTCCAATTATTCCAAGTTTGACTGGTATAACCCTTCCCATCAATACGTCCATGGCATCAGTACCCGCATCCATGAGATCAAGTTTGGTGATTACAGCTAACGTTCTTCTACCTGGTAAATGCAAAAAGAAAATGACTCATTAAAAACATCCTTAAGTAAAGGAAAATCCTCATCTATAATCCCATCTCTATCATAATTTTGCTGGTGCTTTGCTAACAAATACTTTTAAAGTTTTTCAAATGTAACTGTTTAACTCCTAGGACCTCTTTGTAAGCATTTAGTTTTTTCAAATTACATTAAAATTTATTCTTGTGATATACAGTTCTGTGAGTTTTAACAAATGCAAAGCATTCTGTCACTACCACCTCAAGACAGAACATTTCTATTATTTCCCTCAATTTTTCCCTTTTCCAGAATGTTCTATAAATCAGATCATAAGGCTTCTTTTACTTGACATATTGAATTGAGTCAGGCTTCTTTTACTTGACACAATGCATTTCAGAGTCTTTCATATTGTTGCATTTATCAGTAGAGCTCACTATTTTGTATTGCTAAGTAGTGTTTGCTCTGTTGTATGGATATACTACAGTTTAGTTATTCATTTCCCATTTGTGTTGTTTTCAGTTTTGTGAGATTATAAATAAAGCTGCTGTGAATATTTGCAAACAGGTTTTATTTGAACATAGGTTTTCATTTAACTTGAATAAACACCTAGGAATGAGACTGTTGATTTAACTACATGAGAAACTGCCAAAGTGGCTATACCACTTTGTATTCCCATCAACAATGTTTGAGTGTTCCAGCAGGTTTGGTTTATCTTTAGGTATTTTTCAATTAAAAGGATTCTTCTATATTGCTCGAAATTTACAAAATAACCCTTTTTTCATAATTTCTTATTATCTATTATTTGTAAACATCTTAATTTGCTTAACCATTCTTATTGTTATTTTAGATTGACTAATGTTTGGTACTATAGGAATCATGGTAGCATGTTGTTGCTGTTGTTAAGTACTGTTGAGTCGGTGCCAACTCATAGCGACCCTGCACAGG